TCTTTTATATTAAGAAGAATAAAGATGCATAACATTAGTTGAAAGGGGGGGGGGTCTTGTCGAAGGGGCAGGGGGCAAACCACTTTCTTTCCCCTTATCTTTTCTTCCCTTCCCTTTCCTTTGTCTTTTCTTTCCTTTTCTCTTTTTTTCTTCTCTTTCTTTTTCTTTCCCTTCCTTTTCTTTTCCTTTCCTTTTTTTTTTCTTCTTTTTTCTGTCTTTTTATATAAGATGTGCATGAGGCGTACGCCTCTAGCACGCCTCATGAAAAAAGCGCATGAGGCGTACACCTCATAGGTGTCAGTGCTTCTGGCATACGCCTCAGGGCGTTTTGGGAGTGCCTCGCCTGGAGGCGTGCCTCTAGGCATACACCTCCCACGCCTTTTAAAACACTGATTCAGATATAGATCCAACTATTTGGGGTCAGCTATTTTTGTTAGTGGATTGCCAATCAAGAATTGTTAGTGGAAGGTTTCTTTTTCTTTTTTTGTTTTTTTTTTTTTTGAGACAAGGTAAAGTATAAATGTATTAGGATGAAAAACAAAACATGTACAACAAGATGATATACAAAGGGACTGATAAAAAAACTGCCCTGGGAGCATTATACCCCCCACCCTGCTTTACAAAAGGATTTTCATGTATTAAAAGGGAACTGAAACCTATTTTCTTAAAAAGCAAATGACCCATCAGCCAAACTATACTTTGTCAATTTTAACATTGCTTGTGAGCATGTGAATGTGTTATGTGATGTCAAAAATGATAATTCTTTTGATCCATTAGTGTTGAAGTACAGTTTTGGATTCTACATCCAGTGTACTATGTAGTCCAATGCTTAGACATATATCCCAAGAACTGCATACATGAATATTCATCCTGCTTTTGAAGGTATGTACTGCAGTGTCAATTTGCATGAGTTGCCATCAATATGAAATTGGAAAAATAGTTTCTCATCACTGATGAAATACTCTTCTTAAATGTGTAATTTTCGCCTTCTAGGCTACCTGGAAGGGTGATTTTCAACCTTTCTTGAGAAAGTCTCATTTATGCTCCCTTTCACCTAGCCACTTCTGGCCTATTTACATGAGTAGACTTGGATAAAATACCAAAAGTGATTGGGCATTTTTCCTTTAAGGATGATTTGATACTTACTATCCAAAGGGGATTTCTTGTTAGTGAGAAAGAAGTTAGGGCTTGAGCATACAAAATCCATTGAATACTGTTTAAAATGACAACAAACTTGGCTAGTGTGCTTTCATTATGGGGTGGGTTTGGTTTTCCCATTGGCTCAAACATGATGTGAAGGGTCCTAGTTTCTCCATATTCAACACCAAAAAGCCTATGGAAAGTTGTAATAGATTGACTGAGAAAAGATAGTTAGAGCTCATGGGAATACAGAAATGCTACAAGGGAAATTAGGCAGATGGAAAGTGATTTCACAATCACCAATTCATGGCTTAAAAGAATAGCATTCATTGACTGACAAGATAGTTAAACAAGAGGTGAATAGGGCTCAAATGTTTGTTGGGGCAATGATCCTTTGCATCTAGAAAGAATGAATGAGATAGGTAGTGCTTGGGAGTACTTGGCACCTATTGTACATCCTCATTTCATCATAATAAAAAAAAATCATCTGCTACCAATTTAAAATGAAAGAAACCTCTAGAAAGCTCTAGGGGTGACAGAAAAGGACATTTCCTGTGTTGCATTGAAAAACTGATCTAATAACATTAAACAGTAGCAGTGCAAAATAAAAAAAATATGAAATTATTTTCGTACATAGTCTTTTATCAAAATGTATATACTACTTCTAATACTGTAGTGAAGGATATATATAAAAGGTAGAAGACTGGATTCTTAAAACTTAAAACCCATATTTATTTAATGGCATTATCTTGGGTCTTTGGGAATGTTAACTATTAAATATAGCAATTTTAAAATCCTATATACATCAAATCTGGTTTGGGCCAGCTTTCACTATTCTTTTTGGGAGAATGACGGTTCAGCCCAGGGTCAGAATTTTTAGGCCCAAAGTATAGTTGGGGTGGGTACCAGCTCGGAATTGATGCCAATTCACGGGCGGGCATTGGTGTGTAGATTGGGGGTTTTTGACATTTTGAATGTTTATAGCTCTGCAATGAAATTCAGAAATCTGCATTGGGTCTGTTCGTACTTTTCCGATTCTTTTTTTGGCTCAACAGCAGACAATTGCTCTAGAATAGGCCCAGGATCAGCCTAGGTGCCAAATGGTAACAAGCCAGAACAGACCGGATCCAGTATCCATTGGAATGATAGAGAAGCTGAAGAGAATGGTAGGTAGTTACTGAAACTAATATCGGCAGTATCTGTATGAATCAGAAGATAGAGCAGAGCACATCACCATCTTCAGGTTCTGGAATCTTTTTAAAAAGTGATTGTCATCATCATCAACATCTAATCCTTGTCCCAACTATATAGGGTCTGCTACATAATCCTGTTTCTCCAACTGTTAAATGTATCTCTGTTTATGGACCTCTACACATACAACCCTATTGTGCACTCTAATCTAGACCTAGGTGGCATTTGGCAAGTCTTTCCACGCGGCCTTCTGGGCTTCAGAAAGCTCAAAAGACCGAAAATTGGTCTTTTTCCATTTGGTAACCAAAAGCTAGAAAGATGAGAAGACGCGTGCTCAGAAATACCTGAAAACACCAAATTTCGGAAAGCTTTAAATGAAGCTTTATGGTCTTTCTGCGTGATAGATAGCCTCTAAACATGTTTTCAAAAGCCCGGTAGACTGAGCTGCTTACCAAACGGTCTTTGTCTTTAAAGACAAGTCCCCAAAAGCTCAATATGTCTTTTGGCCATTTAGTCTGTTGGAAGATCTTTCTAAAAAGACTTGCCAAATGGCACCCTAATCTTGGATAAAACCTTGCCAACACTGGAATCTCTTCTAAGCTTCCCACACATTAGTGGATCTTGCTAGTGCACTATGGGTCCCACCATTAGGGTTTTATTCCTTTTTGGGTGAAAATTTACCCATCTGGACTTTTAGCCCTTTGGCCTTTTGTTTACTTTAGCCCTTTGGCCTTTTGTTTTTTCCCTTTTTGGAATCTCTTCAGCGAAATACTTTTTATTTACTGATCAGTGGAAAACTAGAAAGGATAGGGTTAGGAATGAAATTATCTAGGAGTAACTTCAATGGGTGATAAAATGAGAGAGTAAGATGGTTTGGGTATGAGCATAGAAGACCACCAACTGTGCTAGTTATAAGAAGTGATTTGTTACACATTGAAGGGGATAGAAGAGGACAGGGTAGACCAAAAAGGACATGGGTAGAAGTAGTAAGAAATGATTTAAGCACTAACAATTTAACAGTGGATATGGCTTTAAATACAACGGATTGGTGAAACAGGATTCATGTAGCCGAGCCCTTATAGTTGGGATAATGCATGGATGATGATGATGATCCTTAATATCATTGAGGTATTTATTGACAGACAGAAACTCATTTCCCCCTTATTAACAGACCATCTAAGCCATATTCCTTGCATAATGAATCTTTCTTTGTTCATTGAATTTGGATTCTGTATGTCTAGTTGAAAACTTCAGAGAGCTTGTTTCTCTTTTTTCTTTTTCTCTATTTGTTGTGAAAATATAATTGAATTAGTTGGTGAGGTTCATGTTGTTAGACTGCATGACTATTTACCAATTTCTTGTTGTCTTATACTATATTAACAGAAAATTGTTCACTATTTTGTTTCCAGGGAAAGTGATAAGGACTTAAAGGCTTCTAAACAACATCCATTGGGCTGGCATATTTCTTATGTTAAGTAAGATTTATCTTTGTTAATTTAACTACCGTGTTTCCACAAGTTTCTGTTCATGGCTTTTTTACTTAAAATGGTAATTTTTTTTAATATATAGGTCACTTGCAGAGTTTTCACGAATTCCTATTGTTGTGACCAACCAAGTCAGAAGTCAAAATAGCAATGAATCCTTTCACTATCCCTTCCAAGGTGTGATGTGATAATTTTGTTTTGCACATTTCTGCTCAAAACTTCTCTACATCATATTTCATTATATGCAGTGTGGAACAATGATGAGAGCATGAAGGACCTTCCAAGAATGGAATCCCATCTTGTTGCTGCTTTAGGGATCCACTGGGCTCATGCTGTGACAATCCGTCTTGTGCTTGAGGCTCATTCAGGTTAACATCTGCATTAAAATTAAATGATTATATATTGATCAAAAAAAAATTACATGATTATATGTTCTTGGTTTAAGTGTACAAAGAACATTGTTGTAAGGCTTACTTAATTGTTACTTTATAGCTGCTGTTAGTAGGACAGTTACAGTTACTTGTTTTTCTTCTTTCTTTTTTCTTATTATTCTGATTCTAGGATATGCCGCCAGGGGYATACTTGTAATTTCAGATTCTTTTATGAAGTTAATATAAATAGAAAACTGGCTGCAGCCAGTAGATACTTTTTTTTTTTTCTCAACCATACCTCTCTCTTCCTCTCTCTCTCTCTCTCTCTCTCTCTCTCTCTCCCAATCCCCACGAATCACCACATGGTATCAGAGCTGGTTTTCTGGGTTGAAAAAGACCTACGGTCCTGGTATCAGGTTTCTTAAAAGTGTTTGGACGTGGCTGTTTCTGTAGAAACCCTAGCAGGTTTCTGGCGGCTGTTTCTGCAGAAAACCTAGCAGTTTCTGGCAGCAGTTTTTTTTGGAAACCCTAGCAATTTCTGGTGGCAGCTTTTGTGATTTCTTTTTCCTGGCTGTAATAGCAATGAAACCCTAGTCGGAGAAGGGTGATGCTGGTGCAGACTCTTCTATTCGATGCTGTGAAGTCAAGTTCAGCCTAGCACCTTTGTACAAGTGCTGAACAGGTGTGTTTTTTGGTTCAGTTTGTCTCAGTCTTCTTTGGCCAATGGTGCGTAGGGCTCTCATGCCTTGATTATATAGTTATTTGTTTGGACGTTGGATGGTTAGAGTGTGTGAGCTACAGTCAGACTGATTGTAATGTCTGTATTGGTGGTG